CGTCAGAGACAATGCGTGGCGCTCGTGCTCTACGCCAATAGAGCGGTGAGCTTATAACCCATAGACCTATTTTATGGGAAGAGGGCCATCGACCAGTTCCTAACCTCCGAAGAGGATGGACTAGGATACTGGCAGGGCGCCCACACATGACAGGAGAACGAATCGGTTGCACAGCCAAATCCTTCGAGTAGATACACACCAACTCACGCGAAGTGTACTGTGTGCGCGCCGGGCGTACGGTTGGAATAGGAGGAGGGGAGGCCAAGCGATGACTTGGTCGAGAGGAATGAAAACCATCACTTCAAAACTGCCGTCGGTTGGTGCATCCCGAATGCCTGGCTGGAGTCCTATGGACGATGAACACGATTGGTCGGACACACTTGCTGATATGGCGAAGAGCCGGCCCCAATGGTGTTTGTGTTGTGAGTTCTTTGTTCATCTCTTCCTGTTAGCCACCCCCCTCCAAACACGATCTCATTCGCTATGCATAATATAACTCATTTTGCGGCATGATAGTCGGTTGTTAACTCTCCGGAACGATGTCCATCCGTTACTGAGGATTCAGCCGGCGTGCCACTGTTGTCTTTTCCTCTTGTCTTAATTATTGCGGCACAACAGCTGAGGTGTTTTCCACTTGCAGCTAACGTGTATAATGATGATGATGAAATGTACACCCGGAAGGCAGCGGTCCTAAGATATTGTCAGTTCAATGACTTATGTGGATTGATGCCCTGAAACTTAGCAGGGAGAAACCCAACTCCCATTAAACGGTCGCCTCGAGGTGCCCAGTACATGAGCCCATGGCATAACAGTAGCAGGACTAGGTAGACCATCTGTCAGGATCTAGCCACCACAAGCCGCGGCGCATCATAGGTTCTCTCTGCCGCTTACATATATATATATATATATATATATATATATATATATATATATATAACAGTTCAAAGAGCGATTGGACAGCTTTGCAAGGGCTGCACCACGAAGAGATGAAGATGTGTGTTGGGGACACACCGGCACTGTAGGATACGCAGACAGCCCCTGCTCAGCTGCGTAATGCAAGTGTGTCGATGCCGACGGGATCCCGTCTGAAATATTGAAACACGGCGGGCACGCGTGGGTGACTACGTTGCACCATTTGGTGCAACGCGTGTGGATTAAGGAGGAGATGCTTCCTGAGCTAAAGGATGCCCTTGTGCTACCACTGTACAAGGGCAAAGGTAGCAAGCAAGGTAGCAAAATACAAAATTGAGGTTCTATCCCTCGCATCTACCACACCCGATCCAACTACCAAGTTAGACAACTTGGTAAACGATATCTGATCCGTTGCCATCAAGATTCAAGGTGTACACAAGTGATTGTTCACCATGCAACAGCATTCTGGATGTGGGTAATGCATAGGAAAACAAGAAAACGTTAGTAATTTATTCCGAGTAGACGGTGTCGCTAGCGATCCCGTCCATATAATCCAGACCAATTGTCACCAGGTAGCATTACAATGTCGACATAGCGAGATTCCGCAAAGGAACACTCCATGAGGGGGTCCATGGCAATGTTACGCGGAAATGGAGAAGTGGTGCAACCCTGATGAAGGTTAAATGTTGGAGAAAAGACATCCGATAATTCAACCCAGATCCCGATAAGGTCAGTGGCGCCGAAGTTACAAAACAGGTAAAACACTTTCACAGTTGATTGGAACAACTTTCTGAGCAAGTATGCCGAATAGAACGCAACGATCAAATAGGTCGAGAGACAATGTCGGAAAGTTGCAGAATACTAATCGGTTTCGTATAGGAGTACAGTACGTGACACGCTGCTCTGGCACTTGCCGTAGGAGACAAACCGAGATTTTAGTTTTGCAGCAGGTCAACGAAGCATTAGTTAGCACAGACGACACCACTGTCCTTATATGTTGTCACTAACATTGATTCAATCCAAATGGCTGATATAATCTTGTCTGTCCATAGCTACCTGAACACTTGGGTTTATGCTTAATAGAGGTCATCACCATGCGTAAACAACGGGCGAAAGAGAATCCGGAGCAGTAAGAAGAAAAGGACTGCAGTTGTGAACGCGTTTAGAACCTGAGTTACCAATAAAATCGGTCATGGTTCGACGTACGCCAACTAGCCACCAGATGTGTGGGAGCAAGGAGCCAGTTAATCTGCAGCAGAAACTACGCTATCCAATGAGCTATACCGCTTTCCTTCTCCTGAACTGTAGTGTCAATAAGGTAGTACTGAAGCGTAAGTTTATGGGACAAGCCGTGCGAATGTACGTGAAGATGTCGTGGTAGCTGCCCATCACTCTTACTTCCTGAATCGCCTGAGTGCAGTGGGCATGCAGCGTGTCTATAATATTTCGCAGGCACCGTACCAATTCACACCAGTTCATATTTTGTTCGATGCCAGTAGACCTGCTCCTCCTAGATTCTAGAAGGCGTGTTAACCTTCCCGATATCCGGAGTCCAGTGTGATGAATGACAGTGCTGCGAGCAGAAATCCGCATTGTGCATGGCTGCGAAGGCACTATACCACTGAAGCTTGATATCCACAGAATAAATGAATGAGATATGATACGCAGGACGGCTCAGTAACTTTGCATCACTGACAGCTGGGATTGCTTCTCGGTTGCGAACATAGCGAAATGTTTACTGTGCTTCCCGATAGGGATCATGGAAACTGGGTAGAGTGCCAGGACGTGATCAGAAGCGAATCAGGTGTTCTATTATTAATAATGGTTTGGAACGAATCCAAGCCACCTGAAACTTGTAGCGATGTGGTTTATACCGTTTTCTCTTTACACTGGACGCTTTGCAAATTACGCTGTTTTACGCAGACTAGGCAAGAAAGGGAGGATAAAGCGACTGGACGATGTTTGCGCAAAGTTGCGGCCAAGTTGATGCAACCCGGTTTGTCCAAGCTACTTCCTTGACTGTAAGTGTCATTCCATTCGATCAAAGGCATAAACCTGGTTGTCCTCTGTCTCATTCCTCGACAGTTAGCAGATGAAGTGTTGTCGTGCTGCCGCCTTTGTTAAGTTCATCCAAGATTCGGAGTTTTTTCCCAAATTTCCCACGTAGTTAAACTTCTGAGGAGCTGAGATGACCAGATCATTAATGTCTTCTGTAAGCAGAACTATATTCGTACTAGTGATACTGCGAAGCAGCGTGCCAATTTGGCAGTAGGAGCCCTTGACAAAGCATAAGCAGCATCAACATCGTCATACAGGCCAGGCCCTGCTGTGATCATTAACCTTACTTGACGCTATAAAACGAAGAGCCCACAAACGGCTACTCATGGAAATTCAATCAATCAACAGGTGCCTCAGCCATGGAATCCACTCCAAGCTGATCAGTGGTTGCTGAATAAAGGCCGCCGGATGCGTGTAACCAGTCGATACGTTTTCTCAACAAACTAGCGAGAGGCACAGACTTAGGACAATCAGTACACGTCAGCATGTGCAGTGCGCGTGGAAATACGAGCAATGAACGCTGTCAAAGAAGGGCGGTGTGGCCTCATAAGAAAATGTCGGTGACAGATGTGGAACAGGGACTGGGGGAAGATAGTAATATACATCAAAGCAAAAGTCGCAGTAGCAGTGATCAATTACGCTGGGGATAACATAAGGAGAATCAAAGCCGGGAACGGGAGGGGTGGAAAAGCAAGTGGAACAGAGGGGGGCAAAAGCATTAGCATGATTTTAATCCGATCGGCCATATGGAGAAAATAATGTGACGATCAACGAAAAGTGTAGCTTAATACATGTAGTTTAATTCATAATTGTACTCGAGCCCGGATAGTGTCAGCGCCCACACCACAGTTTTGCTACATTGACCTGGAAATATGGCGATGATCTGGTCCTACTGTGGTGAGTGCCACCCGAGTGCCAACACCCAGCCTGGAGACTTAATCCATCTAATCATCACCCAATCTGGCAGCAAGAATTCCTAGGAAACCCGACTACATTAGGGTGCAAAGTGGGAGAAGAAATACACAAACCAATTACTTCGTTAGAATCCATCGTTGGTACTAGGAGAGTTAGTTTGAAGCACCCAACAGTTAAAGCAGTCGTTTAGGCATTACAATGAATGTGACTGTTGGGAAAATATGGGTAACGTGTTACAAAATAGGAGGAATTATCGGTGATAATGCTAGGATGGAGAACTCTGGTATCGAAACACCTTAGCTGGTCGCCAAGCAGTGCTCAGGTAAAATCTATCAAAAAGTTGGTCGAATTAATAGATGACAAGCGGCGAAGACAAGCGTTTAATGCGATTCAAAATCAGGGTTTCAACAATATGGAATAAGAGGCAGTGATGGCGGGGAATTTTAAGTTTACAGTAACATGACGAGCATGAGCCGCGTAGTTCCTAAAATCCATAGTTTGTAATTCATAATCATGGGACTACAAGGCTTGTTTAAGTATTCCATCGCTAGTCAAGTACGCACGGCAACAAAGGAAAGGGAAGATAGGTGAGAAACATATAGACACAAACGATCGTCAGAATAACCCAAACCGCCAATCTAGCTCTCTAACTGCAGCAGCAGTTCAGTGGCTTGAAAAAGTTTAACAGTATCAGGTCGTCGGAGACTGAGACAGCTTTATTACAATTTTTGAACAGGAATCGATGAGATATCACCGGATACTTTGTATCGCGATTTTATGGGACGGAACTCCAGGATTACAGCAGCTTTGACGTTCGAAGCTTAAGATTGGAGGAACACCAAGGTCCACAAATTCATCGTTGTCCTTGGTTCCGTATGTATGGACACAATTTATGGCAAGATAAAGTTCGTCATTCAAAGCATGAGATATTCTTATAAAGAACTAGCTGTGAAGAAAAGAAGCTCAAAGTGAAGGAACAGGAAATGTGTTGCTCAGAGGGGACATTTCCAGTAGCTCAAATCTTCAAAAGTGAAGCCACCATAATCCATAGCACTGGGATATAAAATCGCAACACAAAGACTTCATGGGAGCAGGTGCGTAACCGTCAAGTAAGATCAACTTGATGGGTTGATGTTGTTGGCTCGGGGAGCAGTGTCGGAAGGAAGTGGGGGTTTACGATTGCCAGTCGGAATGGAAGCGGAGACCTTGGCTCCTGTTTCTGTGGGGACGAATGATTTTGTGGAAGGACCACCACTATGCGTCAACGGAGCGCTCAACTTCTCGATCATTGCAACAGCATACTCAAGTCTTCCAATAAGGTCTGAAATGATGCCGTTCTGCAAAAGCAACTGGAACTGGTAAGTCTTGAAATCTCTTTTGGTATCAATGTATGTCACAGCGCGCATTAGTGGGCACAGAATAATTTTGGTGTGATCCTCGAAGAAATTGATCTATAAGAAAAAATGAAGAAATGAAAATCAGTTTGTCAGTAGCTATCGAAAACGCAGACAAACGAGCAGTCCCCATTTTCACATTTATAGTATTAACTATTTCAGTATTCTTATCATAATTACTGTTATGTTGATATCCCCACCAACTATCCAACGGGGCTTGTAAAGCAACGCTTCTTAACCCGTATAAATTCATTGTCCATTGTAGTTCTGCGTGAAATAGCGTTACTATTTCTAGGATTGCTTAAGAAACAATAGACAGCCTAACTTCCCTTTCGCGGAGTATCCATAGTGTCTACCAGTTGTACTGTACATCTGTAACAGACCAGCTAGTGTTTCCAAGTATCTACCATGCTTAGTTACGTGGCCTCTCTGTGTATCGTGGCTTCAAACGCAGAACACAACTGCATTGGAATCAAAATGATGCTTGTTTTATTGTCACGGTATTTGCCTCGCAACACTTTTCACTTGTTTACCAATTATTCGGAACTTGTTGTTGCTTATGTTGTGAAGCTGTTGCTCCAAATTCGAACCCATGAAGCTGCTCAGATTTCATACGTTAAATTGCTTTTCCATGAATATGCGACCAGGCTGCCGTGTAATTCACATTGGGCAAGAATGCCCGCAGCTAAAATTTACACCGATATAAACCCGTGCCTTAAAACTCTCCTTAAGCGCAGGTCTGTCAATTTTCATTTGGCAAGTATACCTAACAAGGCAACACGGCAGCTGACTTTGTTCACGTAAAGCTTAAAGAAGGAAATGTCAGTATGCTTCGGCGAATCTCTTTCACATGAACTTGATTGACTTTCTATTTGAAAATCACATTAATACCAGTTTAATACCAGCGGTAATAACCGGCATTTTTAACCTAAGCAAGGCTGCACAGCTGAATATCTCATTTGATTTTCGCCTTACCATGCGACAGCTTCATAACTAAATGAGTAATTGAAATTGTTAGCTGTAATCAGAATTATATTTCAGCCAGTTTAGCTACCTAGGGAAATGTATGACACGCCTTCAGTTACACATTTTGAGCAGAAAGAAGTACATTACCTTTCATCTAGTATGCGACGAATTTGCTGTATTTGTTATCTGTATAATAATCTGAAGTATGTTCAGGTCGGTTAACAACTGATTACGCAGTCGGAAAGTGCTTTTAACAAACTACCGATGATCATTGTTGCTAGATTCTAGTTTATTGCATTTATTTCACTCGCGTTTGCCTCTCCCGTTATGTTATGGAATCATCAATGGTTAGTCTTACATAAATGTTTTCTAGTATCGAACAATTATTCCACACTAGTGGATAGGACACATCCACTTAACAGCCGCTTGGCTGTAAGCCTTTTCAGGTTTTTCGTCTCGTTTTATCAAAATAATTTTTACCGGCTACGGTTCTAATGAGCTTTTCAAATAATTGGAACACTTTTAACGGGTGTGTGGGCCAATCCTACCTTTACTCACGGGACATCAAGTCGTTTGGCTCGAAATTTTGTCTTTGAAACTAATAATGCTATGTTATTCAATAATCAATAACACAGCAATCTAACTGATCTTGTTTCAGCTCGGAACTACTAGATAAAGACAATGACGTTTGGAGGTACTATGATAAGGAATAAGGTCACCGATATGGATGTTTGGTCAGGTGTCCTACGATGCCGGTGAAAACACTGTATTCGTACTACTACAAAGTCACTGATGACTCAGATAGTAAATCTTCAAAATAACCATAAAACCCTCCTGAATAGAGGTGTCTAGGTGTTGCTCCCCCCAAACTGATACGCCATTGATCGGTTTCGTCAAGGTTTGGACTCATCAGATGGAGATCTCAAAGGTCGATGAGCAATGCCTGGCATAGAGTTAAGGAATTCAGGGTTGGATTTGGAGCACCCGCCGTGTGGTTGGATTACGACACGCAACCGCCGTTTAGACTTCGGTTCACTCTGAACTAGACCTCAGTCATTCCGATTACAAGGACTGTATCCAACATATCAAAAGAGATTACGTATCGCAATCCAACCACTCGGTGGGTACTTCAAATCCAACTTTGAATAAAACCATCCGGTTTCTAAATGTTATTGACACACAGTTATCGGGAACGAATGATGAAAATATGTCACTAGTGTAGGCAATTGTGCAGGCTGAAAGAAATCAAGGCATATTTACTTGAACTGTGCTTACTCACAAATGCTTCACAAGATGACTTATCGGAAAATATGTTCACTGGGGAAAGTGTCAGGCAGTAAGTTGGTTGATGTCTTAACGCAAATCATGTACTCCATTCCACTCTACCAATGCCATTTGAAATAAAATCGCGTTTAGAAAAGCGGAGCTTCTATTGATTTTATCTGAGGGTCCTTTCCGTGTGAGGTAACGTTGCTCATTATTAAAACTGCTCACCTAGGTTTGAACTTTATGCTGGGCTGCAATTTGCAACCACCCAGCTCCGAGCACTGCCAGACGGCATGAATACTAAATCACAGAGGATGACTATTTCCGTCTAAGTATAACCGAAAACATCGGGAAAAGTTTCAATGTCATGAGCATTAGATATAAGTACCTTCGTTCCAGCCCTGCAACCACCGAATGTTCAACCAGAATGAGCGATAACGAAATGTTGCTTTTTCCTAATTTTGACAGTAAAGTAGACTTCACAAAATAGTCCAAATTGTTTAAGTGTATAAATGAAATAATAACTGTGGACTTGAAACATTATTTTAATTTTGAGTAGCAAAACTTTAAATTGTAGGTAGCTAAACCGACAATGGTATCTACCAGCAGAGAGGCGCTACTCTATATCTGCGCTCGGCAAAATTGCATTCCGTTGGGCTTCAAAGTGATCACCGTTTTAAAAAGAGCCATTGCTGTAAGTAACGACACTGCTTTCTATCTGTTGTCTCAAATGATGCTTCGCCCATCTGGGCCATTCAAACTTGAAGAAGGAATGATTGCTTAACGTTGGTGTTATAGGTTTTTATCCATGTAGAATAGTAAGCGAATCAACAGCTTCAAGGAGTAACATTGGCTTAGCGAAGAAGAAACCTTGGAAGTTATGTATAAGATCTGCTGCCTAAAATGTGATAATTACAAAATAGGAAAACAGGAAAATGGCTTGGCACTAGGCTATATAAATACAGACTAGTTACTTACGGTTGCGATCTCCAATCCCAGATGTCGGTGCCAGTGGTTGCCCAAAACTTTCAATTCCACCCGGAGGACGTTAAAATCTTCTAAACAGCATAAAGCCAACAAGTACTTGAGTTCATCGAAGCCTGGTATTTAGAGCGGAACTCGACCCAAAACACTGGTCACTAGTGGTTTTGGTGTCAATGCTATTATGTGATTTCATGATTATTTCGTGTCACTGATTCCGAAACTGGTTTCAGTTTTGCTAAATTGGCTCTACTTTTGAGATATGGTGCACTGGCTAAACGGCACAATAAAATAGACAACAAGATAATGTGTAGCCATGGAATCGTATAGAAATGGTTTTTCGGTCTACAAATGCAGCAATACTAACTACCTAATAGCATAGTGAACACGATAACTGAATGAATAATCTACTCAACTGGTACATTCCGTTAGAGTAACTCTCCGGAAAAACACCATGTGGTTCATCTGGTAAGTCACATAACATGCGACAGCAGTAGTCCTCAGTCAAATGTCTGTCATACCTGCCTTGATACCTCTCTTCAATCACTTTAATATCCTGGTGTACGCTCACGCCTTGTTCTTTTCTGAAGTCACTGAGATTTACCCCGTTCCTGTCTAATTTGCTATAGAGAATATGTAACATTATACTCATATTAATACCAAAAGTCTAGAAGACTATAGTCATTATTCACGAATTCTTCATTAATGCTTCGTTTGTGGTTATTCAGGAAATTCTGCACAACTGATACGAGGCCATCCCTAGCAGATGCTGCAACACTGTTTGTAGATTTTGGAAAAAATGCATTCGTTATTCAGTTATTGAATTTGAGGACCATCGAAGAAGTCAGCTTGCACTTTCACCATACTCAGTTTAAGGGATGATCTACAAATTTACTTAAGACAAGCAACATTTCTGTCCGATGCTTTAATAAATTGCCACATCAGTCCCAACTTTATGCAAAGGCGTGGGAGCATAATGTTTTCTCTGTAAACCAAAGCGTTCTTGACGATATTCACTGCTCCTACATTCATGTTTACCGTGTTTGGGCAAGTCAAATCGTTTACCCATACCGTCCATTAAGCACATGAAGCGTGTCTAATTTGTGTATCCATTGTGTCCTCCAGGCAAATGTTCAGCATCTCTTAATATACGTAAGTAATCCAGTCTGACAGTTAGAGCGTAATTTCACCGAAATCATTTTGATGTTTTCATATTCTTCTGTAATTTAAATTGAATGAGTAATTGGCAGATATTCATTCCGGTTACCGTCGTGTAGTAAGACACATTTCAAACCTCTACTGTAACTGTCTATAAAAGCCTCTAAATTTTCTGTTGATATATCGGTAATACCATTACCAGAGGAAGACCAACAGTATTATTGCAATGGACAAGGTCTTTAACTTTAGTTAATAATCGCAGAATTGTCTCTTGAATTTGTTTTAATTTCCGGTTTCAAGTGGTTCTTTTTTAATCCTAAATGCTTACAATTTAGATGATTGTTTTCACAAACGGAGGTCTCGTAGGAAATCGTTTAGTTCTTCTTGTGAAAATTACCGCGGTATTGATAAACTTTCTTCATATTCGCCGCCAGTGCTCTCACCTGTAGTACAGCAAGGATTCGTGCCATACAACTCTTGATTCAGGAAAATTAAACTCCGAAAAGTGTAGCAAACGCTAGCGTGGAAAATTCTGCGTTGTGCGACAGTTCCCATACCACATTCCGGATTGGGATACGCCCATTTACGTTTAAAAGCCGATCGAAATCTTTTATATTGACAGCATAGTAATAACGGGCATC